AAAAAAAAAAAAATCCAACCCTCTTGTCCCAGTCCATTCCCACTCCCATCCCATGTTGTATTGTTGGTCACCCTGGCCTAAAGCAAGCTGCTGAACTTCTCAGGCTCAACTTAAATACCTTTGCTGACAGAAACTCTTAACATCCTCAGGTCCATTTCAATTCAAAAAGGTGATCACCAGTCATTGCTTAATTCATTCAAGGAACATATAATGCATATCTCCTTTGTGCCAGGCACTGGGGGTGAGATATCCTTATATTGGGGTATCTTACCAACTGCTTGTGTTCTACCCTCAGAACTTAAGACAGAACAGAGCTAATTATGTTGTATAAATTGGTCCTGAATAAAGTCAGAATACAAAAAGGCAATTCATTCCCCATACCCCCTCCCCAGTACCTTCCTTCCCTACAGTTCTCTCTCCCAAAGCTTCCTTCTCCACAACCTATCACCAAACATGGGCCTCTTTATCCAGAAAAAGAACCTGAAACCTTTCGCCCAAAAGGTTCAGTAATTTCTGCTATCATAGTCACTTCTGGAGACACTAATTTCCAGATTCCTCAAAATGTGAGGACACTGAGTGCTGAGTTCTGAACTGAAGCCACCTGGCTCCATTGTCTAACCTTAATCAGGACATTCTAATGCTTCTTAATGAACGGGAGTTTTCTTTCCTCCTCTATCTAAAATGCCCTTTCCTATACAAGAAAGGCTTTTTTACAAGAACTCCTACTCACCCTGCAAGACCCATCTGGAGAAGAAACTGTTGGTCTTCTCTAACCCCACCAGCAAGAGATGTGTTGGCAACCCCAAAGGACAATGTTTGTACCTATTGTTGACTCCTAGTCAGGGAATGATTTCCTATAAATGCCTAATAGAAAGTATCTAGTTACTGAAAGTCTCTGTATGAATGCTAAGATTATTGACTTGTGTTAAGATATGCTTATAAAGATTAAAGGTCTGCATGGGACTGGGTCTCTCCTGGCTTTCACCACTTGAAGCAGCAGCCACTTAACAAAGGAGCCCCTGAAAAGCTTTAGACTAAACATAAATCATGACCAAAACAGAGCAGAGATGTCTGAAAGGAAGCTAGGGAATGCTAAAATGGCATTCACTCAGAAAAGACAGTCCAAAGGGAAGCTGAGAAATGAGGAATCCAAAGTATTAAAGTTTGGTATGGCCTTTCAGTATATAACCTAACTACAAAGCAAAGATAGATTCAGACAAGGCTGGGGAGTTCCTGAAACAGGCTCTGTATTACAGTAGCACCAGAAATCTTTACTTATAAATCAGATTGTTTTTATACTTCTTCTACTCCTTTACTTTTCCTCCACTGAGTAAAGCTGCAGGCTGTTTGAACTCTGCTAAGAGGAACTTGAAGGCAAGCATTTTTATCTGCTCTTCAGCTTTAAGATTTGATTATTATCGGCCCACTACCCAGGGCAGTTTGAGTGAAAAATTCCTCCAAAGGGAGGTAAAATTTAGGGGACAATATGGACTGTGGAAGCAGCCATTCTTCTCCATCTGCAAATTCTTTTTCCAATACTAAATCTTGGAAGTAATGGTTTCGTTTTTATTATGCAATATTCTTCTAAAATTCCTCCACTAAATTGTGACCATGGTGAAAGGACCTTATCATTTTCATCACCACCATGTACGCATGTGACTGGAACACAAGAAGTACTCAAACCTTTGTTGACAGAATAAATGAAGCAACTCATGGACTTCTGAAGCACTCTAGGGTTCACCTAGTCCAGTACTTTTACTACAAGTATATATTCATCCACATAAGGCTTTCATAGGTCATAACATAATTCATTCAACAAATACCAACTAAATGCCTACAGTAGTTAAGATGCTGTGCTTTCAAGAACAGAAAGAAAAAAAAAACAAATCAGTCAGTGATATAACAAATGTGTATTGAGAACCTACTGCATGCCAGGTACTATGTTAGGCCCTAAGGATGATAAAATGAATAAGACACACAAAGCTCCATAGGGAACTCACAGAAGAGAAAATAAAATGAAGTATATACTGTATAACACTGTTTATGGAAAATGTTGGCCAGGCACGGTGGCTCATGCTTGTAATTCCAGCACTTTGGGAGGCCGAGGTGGTTGTCGGGAGTTCAAGACCAGCATGGACCCTGTGGTGAAACACCATCTCTACCAAAAACACAAAAAAACTGGCCGGACACGGTGGCACGCACCTGTAGTCCCAGCTATTGGGGAGGCTGAGGCAGGAGAACTGCTTGAACCCGGCAGGCAGAGGCTACAGTGAGCAGAAATTGCGCTCCTGCACTCCAGTCTGAGCAACAGTGAGACTCCACCTCAAAAAAAATGGAAATGTTAAGTGTTTTCAAAGGCACACATAAAGGAAATGAAGGAGTCAAAGGTCAAAAAGAGAAACCAGGGTTTCCTAAGAATTTATGAAACACTGCCATTCAGGTATGGGACACTACATGTGGCTTTAACCTTAGAGTTCAGGAATGAAGATTACTGGTTTCTAGCCAAAGCAGTGAATTGTAATGGCCTTGTAGGTTGTGATGAAAATCAATATTCCATTTTCATATATTTAGCATTATATCAAGTGATATTAACACTGAATTTTGGAAAGCAAGAATACAGATTATTTTAATGGAAGCCATAACCAAAACTGAGCTCTAAAGTTATTTTCATGTTTGAGTATATGGCCCAAAGAAGCACAGACTTGTCAACCTGAATTTAAAAAGTATATTAGTAATAATCCTGGACTTATGGGTGAGTCTTATTTAACAGTAACGCCATGACAAAATAATTTCTATTATTTAAATTATAAACTAGAAAAGTGAAAATTAGGCTAAGATATGGCTAAACATTGTATTTCTTTCATCCTATAAGCAAATGAAATTGATTCTTCAGTTTTATTCATATACACTACTTCAGCATCTCCAAACATTTAAAAACATACCCCAGTAAAGCTTGTTTCCTTCAGGGTAAATGTGGTAAAATGGGAATCAGAAGTTTCAGTACTATAATAACACTATAATATTAAAGGAGCTTAGGCTGGTCTGAAGGTAATTTTATCTTCTCAATTGTTCACAGTCAGTTACAGATTGAACTCCTGTTCCACTTTCCCCTTTCTCACTACTCTACTTGACTAGGCTCATGCCTGTAATCCCAGTACTTTGGGAGGCTGAGGTGGGCGGATCAAGAGGTCATGAGATGGAGACTATCCTGGCTAACATGGTGAAACCCCATCTCAACTAAAAATACAAAAAATTAACGGGGCATCGTGGCATGTGCCTGTAGTCCCAGGTACTTCGGAATCTGAGACAGGAAAATCACTTGAACCTGGGAGGCAGAGGTTGCAGTGAGCCAAGATCACTCCACTGTGCTCCAGCCTGAGCGACAGAGCAAGACTCCGTCTCAAAAATAAAATAAAATTAAATTAAATTTAAAGGCGCTTAGGTTTAACTACCTTTCTCCTTCTCTTGATTCCAAGAACTTACTCATGAATTTTCCACAGCAGTTAGAAATTGATCAGTTCCATCTCCAGCAGCTACAGACTGGGAAAGTAACATCTACCAATATATTCCCTTCAATATATTTTATGGAATATATTGCATAAAAACAATACCGTGATAAAGAATTTCTAGGTCCAGAAGCAGCCTTTTAAATAAAATTTTGCCTGTATGGAAAATATCAAACTTTCTCATAAGGCTTCTCCGTGAATTTCAAAAGGATCCCACATCCACGTATTCCATTTTAGCCAGGAATTTCTTCTGTTCATTGCAGAATTCTTGCCACTGGTGTATGTTTACAATATTTTCCATTGGATCGACATAGGAAATTAATCAGGCGCCATTTGTATCGAGCATGATGTAGACAAGAATGTGTCATTAATACACTCATCCTAGTTATACGGAAGAACCTAAGACATGAACAAACCTAGTAAGCAAAATTTTTGAGGCCACACACTATGCAAAGTGCTGAGATGACTATAAAGACAGCAATGAGCACTTTGTTGCTTAGCCTCTCAATTTTGATTGCCACCAAGGAAGGATACTTTACCACTGCATTATTTGAACTTATATTAAGAAAACCCACCTACCGTAAAACCCCTGTGTTACGTACCTCTACCGTGTTTTTTAAAAATAGATTTTAGCAAAGAAACAATTCCAGAGAAATTATAATACTATATGCAAACAACATTCCTCTAGAAATTCGCTTCATCTGCCTTATTTCTGTATGTTAAAGGACATTAAGTCAAAGAAAAAATGCAAAAATGGAGAATATTTGAAGGCAGAACAACTAGTTCCACTTCTGCAAACTAAGCAAAATTCAGCAAAAAGAAAGGAAACAGGCAAAGGGAAGAAACTCAAGAGCTATTTGCAGCAGTGATCCGTTGCAAGTTCTATGCGCTTCTCCCTGAGCTCCAAGAGATGAGGAGGGAAAAGGAGAGAAGGCACCACGCAGAAGCCTAAACTTACTCCTGGTGCAACTTAAAATATTCATTGAATTCAGTCTAAGATGACTGGGCTATCAGAATTCGGTGGGAATGTCTGGGAGAAGGGAGTGGCATTTGGTTTCTCCGTTTGAAACCCCGGGAGCTGTACCAGAGAGTACCCCAAACCCCTTGGTAATCTTGCAGAGGCGGCTCAGAGCATCGTTCCCCAAGCACACACCTGCAGGGCCAGGCGGCTCCTCCCTCTTTCCCTCCAGTCCTCAGGGATGGACCAAAGTCCCTCGGGCGCACCGTTAGCCCGAGGGCCACCCGGCTCCCGCAGGCGCCACTCAGCACGGAGTGAACCCGGAGTGCACGCCGCGGTCCCGGCTCCGCTTCCCGGAGCCACATAGCAGAGGAGGCGGGCAGCTGGACACTGGCACCGCCAGGATGCGCATTACAATAAAACTTGGGGGAACAAGTCTACACTCGCGCCGACGTGGAGGCACAGCCCCTGACGCGGGCTCGGGCGCCGTCGGCCCGTCCCGCCGCTTCTCGCGGCCGAGGGGCTGCAGTCCGTACCTGTCCTCCGAGACGCTGATGACGCCCTCCTCCTTGGGCACGATCACGGCCATGTTCACCACCTCCTGGGACCCCTCGACCCGCTGCAGCAGAATCGGCTTGCGGGTCAGAGGCTTGGGCTGAATCTCCGCCGCCATCGGAGGAGGGGGCGCGCCTGGGGCTCCGCCGCCAACCGCGCCGCGGGGCCGGGCTGAGGAGACTGTTAGGGCACAGACACAGGTTGAGACAGAGACTCTGGCTGGCCAGAGCGGAACGCCGGAAACCAGCAAGCATAGCCTGGCCGCCTCTCTCGGGAACGGCTGCGCGCTCCCTGCTTCAGGCACCAAAACCGCCACGACCGGGGTTGCAAGCCGGGGCCACTACCAGAGGAGGGGAGCGGAGAGCCGGCAGGCGGAGCCTGTGTGGGCGGGGCCTGCCGCAGGGGGTGGCCGCTGGTGGGCGCACGGGCGGCTCCACTTCCGGGACGGTGGCGAAGGAGGAAACCGGGAACAGAAGGCGGGGCTCTGGCTTCCCAACGCGCGTGCGTCAGTCCCTCAAACCCATTTCTCCCCCCTCCCCTCCGCGACTCCGCGGATCCTGCAGCACCACTAGGACGCATGCGCTTTCCTTTCCCGCGGTCGTCTCTCCGCCTTTCACATCCAACGTTTAGTCCCCTCCCTCTTTAACCTCCCGTGAACGCGCTTGCTAGAGGCCACGCCCCTTCGAAATGCCTTGAAAAAGGGACGGCAGTCAGGCGGGGAAAGAGCGCTCAGCAAGAGCGGAAAGAGAAGAGCCCTGGAGGAAGGAAAGAAGCGCAACTAGTTGGGATGTCACTGGGCATGCGCGCGGGCTACATGGCCTAGCGGTCTTAACAATGAAACTCGGCGGGAGGCCGCTTACTGCTCCCAACATGCATCAGACCCAGGCTGCCGGATGGCACCCAATGGCCTCCTGGGAGTCGTAGTTTCTTGGAGCCTCCGCCCCCTTGTCCTGGAATGACCTATCGCCTACTTCTCAGCGCTGTGGGCCTGGGGAGCTCAGGAGGGCAAATTTTGAGGAGGGAGGAAGGTCAAGAGATTGGCCTGGAAATATGGACAGGTGCGGAGAGACTTGTTTACGAGACTGAGTTTTAACCTTTATGTGATGGAGAACTGTTGTGTCCTCAGAGCACGTCTCCTCTGTGACCAGCTACTAGAGGTTCCCAGAAGAGCCTAGGCAATTCTCCCAACTTCTCACCACTTGCACATGCTGTTTCCTCTGTCTGGATTTACTAGGTCCAAACTCCAGATGAGCTCTTTCTGCTCCAGAAAACTTTCCCTAATTTAACAGCTGAGAGTCTCCAGCGCTCACTGCATTTCCTAGCACTTCCATTGTGGCAGCTGCCACTCTGATAGTAATCAATTGTTTGAGTACTCATTCCACCTGAGGATGATGTAGCAGGTGCCCAGGTGCATCCCTTGCAACCAAGAACAAGGTTTATCAGGCCACGGTCCACACTCAGGACTTGTAACGTATTCACCTTCACTTCTCTCTTATGCTTATGCCTTTTACTGCCCTAACAAGCCTGCCCCTACTTTACTCACCCCACTCCCAAATACTCTTTGAACTCATGTAACTAGACTGCACCTGCTCACCCTTCAAGACTCCGTCTAGCCTTTGTCTCCTCTAGGCAGGTTTTCCCGCCCAACCCTCTCCACTGCAGATCCGGTTGGGTATTTCTCCTGTGTTACCTCAGCTTCCTGAGTCCCCTGTTAGAATTCTTGCCATTATCACTGCCCTATGATGACCTATTCTCCTATTTGTCTCTAGTGATCTGTGAGATTCTTGAGAATTGAGAGGTTTGCATTCAAATCTGTGTTCTCATTGCCTATCACTAGTAGTTATTAAATATTTATTGAATGAATGACAAGATAGAGATTCTGCCTCTTTGGAATTGAGCATCAGACTCAGGGTTGTGGTGATGCTATTCAGGTTCTAATTCCCATAAAACCTGGGGTGGGAGCAGCCAGTGCTACCTCCTTTGTAACTTTAAGGAGATGAGGGAAGGTGTCTGGGTCATAACTGTAATTGCCACCAGAACCACCTGATGTAGGTGTTATGCCCTATTTAAATAGATGTGGAACCTGAGACTCAGAGAAGTGAAATGCCTGCCCTAGGTCCTACAGCTGGAAAATACCTCAATCCTATTTCAAGGTTCTTATAGAATTTCTGCAAAATGGAAGGTGGTAAAGAGTTGCCCTGTGTGCTTCGACACAGGTTATTTGCACTTGTTCTCTTATGTCTCTAGTGATTGGTAAGATCCTTGACTGCCAAACATCTACTTTAGAAATGTGTTTCCACGAGGCCTGTCCCTTTCTCTCCCCAGCTCTGGCATTACTTCTCTCACTTCCAGAGCACTGCAACTCAATCACACCACATAAACCATGGCTACTCTTCAGCTAACTTTATTCTGGGAGAGCTCAGAATTATCACATAATGACTATTGACGAAAAGTTAAATTTTGTGAAACATTTTAAGAGATTTATTCTGAGCCAAATATCAGTGACTGTGGCCCATGACACAGCCCTTGGGAGGTCCTGAGAACATGTACCCAAAGTGGTTGGGGTACAGCTTGGTTTTATATATTTTAAGAAGGCATGTGACATCAATCAAATACATTTAAGAAATACATTGGTTTGATTCAGAAATGTGGGACAGCTTAAAGCGGGGGCTTCCAGGCTATAGGTAAATTTTAATAGTTTTTAGTTCACAGTTGAGTTTATCTGAAGACCTGGGATCAATGGAAAGGAATGTTCAGATTAAGGTAAAGGATTGTGGAGACCAAGTTTTATTGTGCAGAGGAATCTTTTAGATCGCAGACTTTAGAGAGACAGAAGGTGGTAAAATATTCCTTACCAGGCCTAAAAGGGTGCCTGGCTCTTAGTTGATGATCTCCTGGGTGTGGGAAGAAAGGAAGGAAAACAAAGGGGAAAGGGGATGTAGAATGTGGATTTTTCCCACAAGAACCTTTGCAGAGCAATCTTAAGGTTTGGCAAGGAAATATAATTTGGCATAAAACATTTTGATTTTCTTCCTTGTTATGTCATAGTGAGATTGGAAAGTAAATCATGATATACAGGGTGAAAACCCATCTGATGAGAATTTATGGTTTTATAGGGGATGACTCCCCAGACCCCTTAGAAAGGATTTTGGACAAGATAAAAAATCGGAGCTTATAGTCTTCACAACCAACCCCACATGGCAGGCCTTGTGGTAGGCACCTAACATGGATTCAGTAACTACAATAACTCTGTCCATTGTGTCTGGAGCAAGCTAAAAAGGCTGGATTGCTCGGGAAATGGAAAGAAGCCAGCACTAGGGGCCTGGGTTCAAGTCTGTAGGGAAAATGTTTTAAATGTTCCCAAATAGTATCTTTTTTAAATTTTTTTATTTTTTAGACAGAGTCTCACTCTGTCGCCCAGGTTGGACTACAGTGGTGTGATCTCAGCTCACTGCAGCCTCCGCCTCCCAGGTTCAAATGATTCTCCTGCCTCAGCCTCAAGAGTAGCTAGGACTACAGGTGCCAGGCTACCGTGCCTAATTGTGTTTTGTTTTTGTTTTTTTTTTTTGAGACGGAGTCTCACTCTGTCACCAGGCTGGAGTGTAGTTGCGCAGTCTTGGCTCACTGCAAGCTCCGCCTCCTGGGTTCAAGCGATTCCACTGCCTCAGCCTCCCCAGTAGCTGGGACTACAGGCGTGTGCCACCATGCCTAGCTAAGTTTTTGCATTTTTAGTAGAGACGGGGTTTCACCATGTTAGCTAGGATGGTCTCGATCTCCTGACTTCGTGATCCACCTGCCTCGACTTCCCAAAGTGCTGGGATTACAGGCGTGAGCCACCACACCGGCCTCAGTATCTTTAAGTCTACTGCATCTGTCACTCAGTTGTTCAAAAGTAAGTTCCTAGGAGTCATCCTTGATTCTCTTTTTCGCATGACTCATATCCAAACTATTAACAAGTCCTGTCAGCTCCACCTGCAAAGTATATCTTGACTTGTCCCACTTTCTGCTGTCTCTACAGTTGCCATAATCTCTGGCCCCTGGCACAGTAGCCTAACTGGTTTCTCTGCTTCTTCTGTTGAACCCTTCTCGTCAACCCTATATGATCCATTTTTATCACAGTAGCCAGAGTAATTTTTGTTTTAAAATATAAACCTTATTATATCCCTCCACTGCTTTCAATTCTTCAGTGCTTATCATTACACCTGGGATAAAATGCCTTGCCAACCTCACCTCTCATCCTGCTCAGTAATGGCTTAGAAAGTCCACAGAAACACAAACTTTATTCCTGCTGGTGGTCTTTGTACCAGCTGTGTGTACCTCCTGGTTATTTTCTTCTCATCCTCAGACTTCAGCTCCAGTATTAGCTCCTAAAAAAGTCTTACCTAGCCAGGTGCATTGGCTCATGCCTTTAATCCCAGCACTTTGGGAGGCTGAGGTGGCTGGATCATTTGAGGTCAGGAGTTTGAGACCAGCCTGGCCAACATTACGAACCCATGTCTCTACTAAATATACAAAATTAAGTTGGGCATGGTGGCATGTGCCGGTAGTCCCAGCTGACTGAGAGGCTGAGGCACAAGAATCGCTTGAACCCAGGAGGTGGAGGTTGCAGTGACCCGATTGCACCACTACACTCCAGCCTGGGTGACAGAGTGAGTAAGACACCATCTCAAAAACAAAAAAAATCTTACCTACCACCTCTAAAGTACCCCACCTCTTCATAACACTTGCTGTCATATCACTCTTTTATATGCTTCACATTTCTTACCTCTGCCCAAAATCATCTTATTTGTTTCATATGTATTTGTTAGTCTCCCTTCTCTAGAAGACAAGCACCGGGAGAGAAAGGATCTTGACTGTGCACCATTGCACTCCTAGGCCCTAGAGTAACACCTGGCATGTTAGGAGGCATGTTTTAAATATTTGTTGAATGAATGACTAGCCAGAGGCAGGTCCAGATTTGTTCAACTCTATTCCATTAAGGCATAATGGAAACACTGGAATCTGGAATTTGCCCTACTTTGTGGGATGAGGCTGACTTTGGGAAAAAATACACAACTGCAGATATGTCCAACAGGCATAGGAAAATATCAGTATGGTAAAGGCAACAGGTTAGTAATTTGTATCTAAGAGAAGACCTAGCATGAAATAAATGAGGTGTTCTAATAGGTAGTAGAAACTTTGAAAAATTAGAGCTTATGGCCTTCCTGATAGAGGAAGACTACCCTAGTAGTTCTTAACTTTTTAGGTCACAGACCTTATTAGAAATCAGATCAACATGATACATCTGCTGTAGGAGGAGGCATGTACCCATGTACAAACTAAATTTTACATGCAGTTTCAGAAGGCACACGACTATCAGAAATCCAGCTTAGGGATGCCTGCCTGGTCAGGAAATATGTAAGTCTACTTAGCCTCATTCCCCGTCACACAAGAAAGGGCATTCTGATGGGAAATCAAGGACAGAAAGGAGTAGACTTCTAGAAAAATGATTTTCAAATTTCTTTGTTTATATACCACTTTAAATAATTTTGGGAAATTGCTAACCCCTTGCAGAAATTCAGTATAATTTTCAATGTTTGAGTCTGAATTCTAGCACCTTGTAAATATTAACATTTATTATAAAGATTTTTTACATTTGAGAATCTTTTTTTTTTTTTAAGATGGAGACTCGCTCTTGTTATCCAGGCTGGAGTGCAATGGCGCAATCTCAGCTCACCGCAACCACTGCCTCCCAGGTTCAAGTGATTCTCCTGCCTCACCCTCCTGAGTAGCTGGGATTACGGGCGCCTGCCACCACACCCGGCTAAGTTTTTGTATTTTTAGTAGAGAAGGGGTTTCACTATGTTAGTTAAGCTAGTCTCCAACGCCTGACCTCAGGCAGTCCATTTGCGTTGGCCTCCCAAAGTGCTGGGATTACAGGCATGAGCCACCGTGCCTGGCCCAAGAATCTCTTATTGATTCCCCTTGTAATATTATCTGAAACAAAAAATATATATGTGTGTATATGTATATATAAATTAAAACTCCATAATTTGCTTAATATACTAAGGCCATAAGTTCTAATTTTTCAGTTTCTTCTAGATTAACTGGTCATTACAATGGTAAGTTCACAATAGTTAAAACAAAAAAAATATATTACAGTTTTATATAAAACTATTCAACAAAAAAGTAAATTTTTAATAAAAATTTTTATTGGAGATCAACAAGACTGGGTTTTTATATTTCCTTGTATTCAAAAATAAATAATAACATTTTTAGAATTAAGCAGGATTCAGGATCAATTCTATTCCTACATTTTATTTTGTAAATGTAGGGAATGAGCAACCTCATTTATGTAAATGGAGGGAATGGAAAGAGTTTTGGTGTAGCAATGCCACTCAGTTCTTTTTTTTTTTTTTAAGAAGGAGTTTTGCTCTTGTTGCCCAGTCTAGAGTGCAATGTCCCGATCTTGGCTCACTACAACCTCCACCTCCCAGGTTCAAGCAATTCTCCTGCCTAGCCTCCGAAGTAGCTGGGATTACAGACATGTGCTACCATACTCAGCTAATTTTGTATTTTTAGTGGAGACAGGGCTTCATCATGTTGGCCAGGATGGTCTCGAACTCCTGACCTCAGGTGATCCACAGGCATTGGCCTCCCAAAGTGCTAGGATTACAGGTGTGAGCCACCACGTCTGGCTACCACTCAGTTCTTTGAATTCTTTTTGAGTTAAATATGAAAAATCACACAGTTGGGAGAAATTTTTGCAAATCATATATCTGATGAGGTTCTTATATCTAGAATATATAAAGAACTTTTACAACTCAATAATAAAAAGACAACCCCATTTTTTAAATGGGCAAAGGATCTGAATAGGCATGTCGCCAGGGAAGATATACAAATGGCCAATAAGCACATGAAAAGATGCTCAGTATCATTAGCCATCAAGGAAATGCAAGTCAAAACCAATGAGATAGCACTTTACAACTGCTAGAATGGCTATAATAAAAAAGATAAATAACAACAAATATTGGCAAGGATATGGTGTAATTTCTTTCATTTGCTGCTGGCAGGAATATAAAATGGTGCCACCTCTTTGGAAAACAGTCTGGCAAGTCTTCAAAATGTTAAACATAGTGTTACCATGTAACCCAGCAATTCCACTTCTAGCTATATACACAAAAGAAGTAAAAACTTAGGTTCATATAAAAACTTGAACATAAATGTCCATAGCAGCATTATTCATAATAACCAAGAAATAGAAATAACCCAAATGTCCATCAACTGATACATAGATAAAATGTGGTATATCCATACAATGTGATATTATTCAGCAATTAAAAATAAATATATATTTTTTTCTTTTTTGAGATAGGTTCTCACTCTGTCACCCAGACTTGAGTGCAGTGGCACAACCACAGCTTATTATAGCTTCAAACTCCTGGATTAAAGCAATCTTCCCACCTCTGCCTCACAGGTAGCTAGGCCTTCTGGCACACACCACCATGCCCCACTAACTTTTAAACAATTTTTTGTAGAGACAGTGTCTCATTACCAGGTTAGTCTTGAACTTCTGAGCTCAAGTGATACTCCCGTCTTTGCCTCCCAAAGGGCTGGGACTGCAGGTGTGAGCCACCTCTCCTGCTGCATCATATTCTTATATATTTTCCTCCAAATTTTAGAACTGCAGATTTTTATGGAAAAAGTCCACTGCATAGCCTACTTATTAAAATGCTATTGTCAAATCAATTAGGTAGATCAGACTTATTTTCTGTTTTAAAAATTCCAACTTCATTTTTTCCATCCAAAAATTATTAATATGCATTTTGAAGAATACAGCAAAAATATAATGGAATGAATCTAAGATGGACTATTAAATATAGTCACGATTTTAATAATATACATACAATCATTATCAATTGTTAATAATTTATGAAAATAGTAAACCAACATGCTTTTCTTATTACTTAATATAATGTAATGTGTGGCTTAAGTTATAAATTTTTGTGAAACAAGAAAAATAAAAGATATGATATTCTTTTGGTAATTGTGTATATGTGTGTTGAACTCTTGTGTTGAACTTTTATGAATATTTAAGTAAAGTATCAAATATGAAAATCATAAATGATTCCATTAATTTGGTTAAAAATCATAATCAAAAATTTCTTATATATTTAAATAAAAGAAAGATGTATACGCTAAAAGTGATTGATGCTTGAACCTGGGAGGCGGAGGTTGCAGTGAGCTGAGATTGTGCCATTGCACTCCAGCCTGGGCAACAGAAGCAAAACTCTGTGTCAAAAATAAAAAAGTGATTGGTCTGGGACTAGCATATAATTTAATTTTTTGTTAATAGAAAATAGAAACTATTAATCATTTTATAGAATAAAATAAGTTGCTGATTGATCATAAATAAGTATTTCATATGATTTGGTAAATAGGTTGTACCTTATTGAATAAATAACTGAATCTAAAAGAATAAGTTTAACAGTAAGCTCTGTTTACAATATATTTTGAAAACTTGGTAGTACTAAAATATCTTCCTGTTGCACAGAAAAGAATCAGCATCACTAATTTTGTCTAATTTGGCTTTTGTGAAGTTTTTTTTAGTTAATGACTCATGCTAGGCATGAGTAGTATTGAGAATATCTGAAAAGAGCTGCTTAGTTTAAAATACTTGAGAAAAGGTCCTTGGGTCATTCCGTCTTCCTACTGCAGGTAACTTAGCTTCACCCTCACAGTACTCTCCTTCCAGAACAATGAATGTTTTTTAACAGCAGACAGAAGAGAAAATCATTAAACAAAAACGTCTTCACTCCCACCACTCTATTTACCCTCTACTTATATTCAGAACCTCCAAAGACAAGTCAGACTATTCTTGTTTTTTCTCCCCTAACAGAAATATTTATAAAGGCAAGGAACAACAGAAAGATCTATAGTTCAGTTGCTTTATTAATCATCACAGTTTCGCGCAAATCAATATTTTGGTATTTGTTGTTGTTGCTGCACAAGAGGTTTTCTTTCTCTTACCCAGGGCAATGCATCACAGCACATTCTGGGATGGGTAAAGGCTATGAAATGGGAGAATGTGTGAAGTGAACATTAGCACATCCTCAGGCAAACTTGTTTTAGGAAAAAGTACCTATAAAAATTAAAGATCTGACCGGGTGCAGTGATTCACACCTGTAATCCCAGCACTTTGGGAGGCCGAGGCAGGTGGATCACCTGAGGTCAGGAGTTCAAGAACAGCCTGGCCAACACGGAGAAACCCTGTCTCTACTAAAAATATAAAAATTAGCCAGATGTGGTAGTGGGCACCTGTAATCCCAACCACTCAGGAGGCTGAGGCAAGAGAATCACTTGAATCTGTGGGGGCAGAGGTTTCAGTGAGCTGAGATTGTGCCACTTCATGCAGGCCTGGGTGACAGAACCTCTAAAAAAAAAAAATTAAAATTAAAAAAATTAAAGATCTGGAAACAGCTTTATTTTTATTTATGTTTCTGCACAGAGGCTATGCTAATTTTTGATCATCCCAATTTTAGTGTATGTGCTGCCTAAGTGAGCACTGGAAATGGATATTCTTAAAACGAGGCTTGTTCATGGACCACTTGACACGTTTTCACAGACCAGAGTCACACTACACGGGTCACAGTTTAGAGAACTCTAGTCTAGGAAACAGAAAGTGGGGCTGCAGCTGTAGTGGTGGCTGGAACTTTGTGGTAGGGGTAGGATTAAAGGGATTATTCTCAATAACTGGACTCACCCTCGGAAGGCCAATTAGGAAACAGTGTGAGACTGTAGAAAAGGAGTCCCATAGCAGAGTCTAAGGCCCTTGTAGTAAGGAATATGCGTTTTTCTGGCACATCCTCGGCAACCCAAACTGGCATTAGAAGGCTGGGCTGGGATCTGGGGCTTCTGGTTTTATCAGATGAAACCCACATATAGCAAGAGGAATCTAGAAGCAGACAGTGTTCTGAGACCCAGTTAGGCAGTCAGTCAGCTGACAAGCAGTTGTGCACCAACCTCCAGGCTAGGGTTCAAAGGCAAGAATCAAATCTGTGGTGATAGCTTAGGAAGTCAAGGCAGGGCCTTGGGGCTCAAGGATCTGGTGTTCTGAGCTGGAAGCCTAGGCATGATCTTAGGTGTCAGAACTAGGAACAAAGTAGGAGTAGAGCTACTAAATAGGGTGTCCTGTAGCAAATCACCTAATCAGTTGGAGCCCCTGCCCTTTCTTCATCTGTAGCCTGTAGGTAATCACAGCACCAATCTTACACAGTGGTTGTGAAGTATAAATAAGATCTTTCATTGGAAGGAATAAACCCAGTGTTACCAAGCAGTACTCTAAGGGAAGAGGAGAAATATGAGAAAGAGTTGGAAAGGAACCACAGGAAGGATAGACAGAAGAAAGGAAGCAGAGATGATGTCACAAAACAAGGAAGAAATCTAACAATCAGAACTGAGTCACAGGTCAAGGCCAGTCCATCTTGCTGTAGAAGGCCCAGTCTTCCAAAGATGAAAATTCTGATACCAGAGTTACAGATAACTTCCACCGTCCTGGGTAAGTCAGGTGTTTAGAATGAACTAAAGTGAATGTTTTTGCTAACTTAATTATGCATTGGTTTTTCTCAGATGTGCTCACAAAAATCCCTACGGTATAAAACTAATGCTCACTTGGCATTTAACTCTCATGATGAATAATGCTTCTCTAGAAGAATGTCTTAGTTACAGCCAGGAAGATCAGATAAACATCTTGCAGTTTGTCTTCCTCTTCCTTTCCTCATTCTCTGGCAGCAGGCGTGTAGCTCCTTCAGCAACAAGGTTTTGTGGTTCTGATGCCTGGCTGCACACCAGAATGCCTGGGAACTTTTTGAAAATACAGACTCCTGGACCCTCTCTCAAATGACTGAATTTGGTCTTCCAGGAGCTTGGCCTGAGAAGCTGAATTTTTATTAAGTATTTCCAGATTATTCTTATGCAAATGGTTTCATCTCCATGCTTCGTCTAATCTGGAAACGTGGACCTGGGAATCCAATGGAAACATGCAGGAAGAGTGACCAGCAATATAGTGGGAAAGGCTTCCAACCACAGGATACAGCTCTTACTTCCTTTTCCTTCCCAGTATGAGGGACTGGCCAGCTTGCTGGCTTTTCGACTATTGGCAGGAAGTGTCTCTTTCCCATAGCCCATTGAATAATACAACACAGCCTGCTGCTTTTCCCCTACCTGGGCTGGAAGTCACCCAGTTTTAGCAAGCCTTCCCCCTACGCCTTCTCCACCTTTCCAGTCCTCCCCATTCCTCTCTAACCTGGGCAAGTGTGTGCTAAAAATAGGTTTTTATATACATAAAGGACTAAACGAAGGCTTATCTATCCTTTTTTTTTTTTTTTTTGAGATGGAGTTTTGCTCTTGTTACCCAGGCTGGAGTGCAATGGTGCAATCTTGGCTCACCGCAACCTCTGCCTCCTGGGTTCAAGCAATTCTGCCTCAGCCTCCCGAGTAGCTGGGACTACAGGCATGCGCCACCATGCCCAGCTAATTTTTGTATTTTTAGTAGAAATGGGGTTTCAGCATGTTGACCAGGATGGTCTCGATCTCTTGACCTCGTGATCCACCCACCTTGGACTCCCAAAGTGCCGGGATTATAGGCGTGAGCCCCCATACCTGGCCCTACCTATCCTTTTTAAAATGGACTTTAAGAGCAGATTTAGGTTCACAGCACTACTGAGCAGAAATCACAGAGCTCCCATGTGCCACCTCCTGCCCACTCCCTAAGCACACTATCAACACCCCCCACCACAGTAGTACATTTGTTACAATCAATGAACCGGCATTGACACATCATCATCATCCAAGGTTCATAGTTTACATTAAGATCCACTCTTGGTGTTGTACATTTTATGGGTTTGGACAAGTTGTAATGACATGTATTCACCATTATAATATCATACAGAGTAGTTTCACTGTCCTAAAAATCCTGTGTGTTCCACTTATTCACCCATTTCTCCCCACAACCTCTGGCAATCACTGATTTTTTTCTTTTATCTTTTTTTGTTTTTATTTTTATTTTTTAATAGAAATGGAGTCTTGCTATATTGCTCAGGTTGGTCTTGAATTTTGGGGCTCAAGTGATCCTCCTGTCTTGGCCTCTCAAAGTGTTGGGATTTCAGCCATGAGCCACCATGCCCAGCCAGATTTTTAAAAAATTGTCTCCATAGTTTTGCCTTTTCCAGAGTTTCATACAGTTGAAATCACACCAGACAGAGCCTTTTCAGATTTGCTTCTTTCACTTAGTAATACTCATTTAAGGTTCTTCCCTGTTTTTTCATGGCTTGATGACAAATTTCTATTTAGCACTGAGTAATATTCCATTGCCTGGATGTACCATAGTTTATTTAGCCATTCACCTATTGAAGGACATCTTGGTTGCTTCCAAGTTTTGGCATCCATGAATCAAGCCGCTCTAAACATCTGTATACAGGTCTTTGTGTGGTGGACATATGTTTTCTACTCACTTGGGTAAATACCAAGGAGAATGATTGCCAGATCATAGGTAAAAGTATGATTAGTTTTATAAGAAACTGCCAAACTGCCTCCAAAGTGGCTGTACCATTGCACATTCCCCCCAGCAGTGAATGAGAGGTTGATCTAAATTTCAGAGGAAAACCAGCTCTTCTGGAAGTTTCTGCAGTGGAACGAGGAGAGTGAGGTAGGATGAAGTGGGAGTGGGAACCAACCTAGGGAAGTGGCGATACGGTGATGTAGTGACAAAAAAGACAGAAGGAAGAGAGCTTATGTTTCTGTTCCTTTTATGCTTTCTCTTTTCTAATAACTTCCATGCCACCACAGATCCACCCATACACTAGCCCTGAAATGGGCTAAAAAGTCAGAGACAAGAACTGTGGCTGGTTAGGTCTGTTCCCTAGAAAACCCAGAGCAGGGAAATCCCAAGTGCATCTGGTCAAGAGGAATTGGGTCTGCTATTCTTAGAACAAGGTTTCCCTCAAAAAATATTAACTGAAACCATGAATGAAAACCTCAACTCTTCCTCAGTTTGCCATTTGAGGGTCTGAAATCATTCATTCTTCCAGAAAATATTTATTTAGAGCCTGCTTTGTGCCAGGGAGTGAGCTGGGTGCTGGATATGATTAACTCTCTTGTACAGTCAAGGGCAGAGCTCAACGTGGCTCACACATTAAGTTTATCATTAGAGGGCCACTGGCTCTAGGGAACAATGAGCAAGCAGAGAGGAGGAGTTAGCATGGTAAGCATTTGCTTTAAAAGTAAAGGCCGTGTTTATGTCAAAGTTCCAGTGCATAACTGTGCACAGATCTGCTGTGAGTCTTCTGCATCAAATAATGCTCAATAGAAGGTATAAAGGAATTAAATGGGACTTATGGGGAATGAATATTGCCCATATGAAATAGTGAAATGGGCAGAATGAGATATATTGCCATTTAGGCAAAATGATGTATTCACTTGTCCCAAACTCAAGTTGTTTACAAAAGAATGGACAGTTTGTATCTTTCTAGAACTTTGGGGGATAGCACAGTTTTCAACCAGTGCCTGCTTTTGGTTTAATATTCCACCTAAAATTATACACATGAGGAAGATAAATGATTCTGTTAACAAAGAATGAGATCATCTTTATCCTCAAGGACTGTGATTAAAAGTCAGTGGTTAATGACCAAAATTCTAATGTGGTCACTGGGGTCCTGGCAGAATGACATCTGAAACTCCTTGGATATATCTGATGACACTTTAAAAAACTTTTTAATAAGCATCAAGGATTAATACAGCATAAGTATTCTACAGATGAACCAGCTATTGTTGTTGTGTCTGCTTAGGCCTCCCAGACATGGTGTTAGGCCCACCTCACACTCCATCTTGTAGGACCTCTTTAAGAAAAGACTTAGCTAGGCGCTGTGGCTCACGCTTGTTATCTCAACACTTTGGGTTGCCGAGTCAGGAGTTCAAGACCAGCCTGGCCGAGATGCTGAAACCCCGTCTCTACTAAAAATACAAAAATTAGCTGGGCATGGTGGTAGGCGCCTATAATCCCAGCTACTCGGGAGGCTGAGGCAGGAGAATCGCTTGAACTCAAGAGGTGGAGGTCGCAGTAAGCCAAGATTGCATCACTGCACTCCAGCCTGGGTGGCGAGTGAGACTCTGTTTCCAAGAAAAGAAAAGAAAAGATTCACCTTTCCTCTCCTGTTGTATTGCCCTAAGTCTCAAGCACTCTGCAAGGCATGAAAAGGGAACTCAGTAATGACATGTCAGTAGAAAGATTGATTGACTCTTAGCAGCTTTGCACAGTTTCCAGTGAAATGGAGCAGAGAAGAGTCACATACCCATATTTCTCCTATCAATAGAATTTACTTGGCAGTTAATACTGGAAGCCAAAAAGATCAGGACAAATGTTTGTTATCAAAGATGTCTCCCCTTGAGTAAAATTGGTTAGGATCAGATTAATTTCCCTCAAGAGCAGAACATACCTAGGGAAAAGGGCTTTTGTGCCAAAGGACTTAATGTTATTCTTTCCCTTCAACTGCCATTCTGTCTCTAGGGAAAAAGTGCTAAAACCAACAAACAAAAAACTCTAAAACAAGGAGAAAAAGAGATGGCATCCACAAAAAATAAAAAGAGCTCAGCCACAGTATAGAACAAACTGAAAGTCTGAAGCAGAAACAGAAAGAGCCCAAGATATTATTGATAGCCCAATTAGTATAACCCAAACTTTGATGTCCTACATTAAATCCTGGAAAAATTCCATGGGCTTCTAAAACATGCATCTTTCCTTCCAGGGTATACAATTCTAAAGGACTTATATCCTATAACATATGTCCATGAACTAAGTATTTTTAAAAAGATGGTTCCTGTTTGAGGTTGGTAAAAAGGAACTTATAACCAGCACCTTGAGTGAAATGAAGGAAGTGAAAATGTGGCATTGTTTCCACAGTAGTCTTGCTGTCCCCAGTCTTGCTCCCTCCAAGCCATCCTTTTTATTGCTGCTGGAGAAATCTTTCTAAAACTGACATCAAATCATGTTACTCCCTAACACGGTCTAAGAGCTTTGAGAGCATTCCATGTCTCTAGAATGGAACCTACAGTCATCATCTGGCCTGTGCCTCCTTCTACAATCTCGTTTCCTACCTTTACCCCACCAAGCCCTAATTCAGTGATTTTAGTTGCAAGTCATTCATCTGATCTTTTAAACAATGAAAAGGAGACCAGCAGCCACTTAATCAGAGTTTGATTAGGTCATTGGCTCCATTTCTCTGCAATTCTCTTGTCTTCTGGTTGGCTTCCCATAGGGGAAGAAAATGGAACCAACAGCTCAGGTTTCTGTGCTTCCTCTTCCTCTTCTGTGTCCAATAGCTGTGAGTGCATCCCTTTCCCCAATCATCAAACCAAAGTTCTGGGCTTCTTTCTGGTTATACATATCCAGTCCTAAACTAATGTCCCTGAGGAATTCCAGGGTGAATTTGCTTAGGCCTGGTGGACATGCCTGTCTGAGAACCAATTGTGGCAAGGAAATGGATTATGCAAATTGGCTAAGGA